AGATTGTAGATGTTTAGTCTTCTGGGAACGAGGTTGTGTTTTTTGCATAGGCGTAGGAAATATACGTCTCTGTTGAGTTTGGTTTCTTTCTTTTTTATGTTGCGTAGGTTCCATCTCAAACAGCAAAATTCGCTATCTTCCATATTTTGGGGGCATGGGTTGTAGCCGTGCTGGGCTACGGCAAAGCCCCTGCACTCCAGTCTTACAATCACAGACCATGAGGACCTCAGGAGTCATCTAGTCACCCCCTGCTCAAAGCAGGACCAGCCCCAACTAGAGCACCCCAACCACGCAGCCCTACCCTCCTACTGAGAGTCTTCCCCCCCTCACATCCGACCTCAGCTTCCCTTGCTGCACCCTGAGCCCGTTGCTCCTTGCAATGGAGAAGAGGGGCGCTGTGCAACACCCCAGAGGAGCGCAACGACTCCCCCTGCCGCAGGGGCGCACAGACGCGGGGTCCACCCCCCGGGGCAGCCACGTGATGCGCGGGGCCGGGGGCGGGGCCGTGGCGCCCCTCCCCTCCCCCGGGAGCGCCCATTGAGAAGTCTGCGGCGCTGGCGGCTGCCGGGCACGGGTTGTGGGCTGCGCGCTGCCCGGCCGGGAAGGGGCTGCCTGCTGCCTCCTGCCTCCTGCATGGAAAGCTCAGGAAGATGGATGGGTCCCTGCTAGCCTGGCTGCTTCTCCTGGGGCTCGCAGGTAAGGGGGCTGTGCCCGCCTCTGCTGCAGCAGTGCCACCAGGGGCTGGCTCCCGGGCACGCTGGCCTGGAGGGAGGAGGCAGCTTGCTGTCAGGGGCCATCCGTGCCTCCCAGCAGGCACCTGCCCTGGTCTTAGGTTGGCAGGGGGAAGGCAAAGGGAAGGAGCCTGCTGTCAGGGGGCATCCATGCCACCCCTACCCCAGGAAGGCACTTGCCTGCTGCACCCCTCCGGCTACAGTGCTGCATGGGGAAGATGGTCCAAAGTGAAGGGAGCCCCTGCGATCGCCTCCCTTCTCTAGAGAAGGCAGCTTGGGAGGAGCACTCCCTCCCAGCCCCTGATCCTTTGGGGGTGGCTCTGGTTTTTGGCAGAAAAGCCAGGGGTTGGGGAGGGCTGGGAGGGGCTGGATCCAGCAGGAGTTGTGAGGTGACGGCTCCTGCTCTTAGGTCTGCCCCCAGCTGTTGCCCTAGAAGAGTTTGCAGAGACTTTGTGTGTAAGGGTTGAGCTGCAGTCCTCATGTGGCAATAGTGTGCGCCCTATGGGGCTGGGAGAGTAGCTTTGTGTCTACCTGTGTGCTGCCTGGGGATCCATCCCTGCTGACCAGGGTGAGGGTGGTATAGACTGTTTCCCCCTTTCTCCCCCCATAAGGACCCATCGCTCCCTCCTTGCTTCCCTTGGGACAGAATGGCATCACTTTCCTCCAAGGTCAGGGTGGCACTGCTCTTTGCCTGCTCCTGCAGGGTGCTGTCCCCACCTCACTTCGCTCTGAGAGGATTTTGGAGTTGGGAGGCTGCTCCCTACCAGGAAGCATCAAATTGATATATTTTTCTATATATGGATATGTAACTCTGGACCCAACATCTGTGTGGGACCTGTGATACTTGGGCATCTTTTTCCTGAGGGGCTGAGGCAGGTGCCACTCAGGAGGATACCGATATTTACTGGATCAAGGCAGGAAAAAGTGGTGCTGCCGGAGGACAGGAAGGAAGAACTAAGTGGTGGAGGAAGATAATGTGAACCCAGAGGGCCAGATTGTCCTTGGCTGCTGTGCCGGAGCGAGGTTGCAAGGAGCCTTGGCTCTCCATCTCATGGTCCCATGCCAAGGCCAGGAACAATTGAAGGAACTCTCCCGGCTCTCCTGGGAGCTTACTAGTCCACACACAAGAGGTGTGAAGGAGCCCAGGCCACACCTGGCCTCTGCCTTGACTTAGAGAGGGCTTCCATATACCTTTTATATAGATGGTGCAGCCTGCCTGGTCCTGCTGAGCCTTGGGGAGGGACTGTCATTACACAATCCCCTCCAACATTACTTGGGGCAGTGTGACCTTCCACTGTTCCTCCTTGCACCTGAATGGCACAGGCAAGCCCATGGAAAGCCAATGAGAAACGGAACCCTAGAGAAATACGATGAGAAAATGGAGAAGAAGGAGGTCAAAGGGGAAAAGGTGAGGGTGTAGGTAGACAGTGGTCTGAAAATGGGGTTAGGGACAGAGATAAATTAGGGAAGGAAGAGAGAAGAGAAGCATCCCACTCAGAGCAATAGAGTGGTCCCACAACCAGAAATGGTGGGACAGCAGCCCCTTGGCGTGGCAGGTGGGAGATGCTGCCTCCCTGGCAGCTAGTGCAAGAGTGTCAGGAAAGGCTGCAGCCATCAGGGAGTCTAATGGCAGTGAAAGAAAACCAGTGGGGGAAGAGGGAGAGGTGTTACATTTTGGACATTTAAAATGCTTCAAAGTGGGATGTAGGTGGATTTCCCACCAACAAAAAGCCCTCAGACTTCCTAAGTCCCCTTCCCCTGCCCCCCATCCTCTTCCCCAGATTCAGGATTCAGAACAGCAAATTCAGTTTTTACTGATATCCCACCCACCCCGTCCTTGTTTTTTCATTCTGAGTCATCTTTAGTGCCGGTGCCTGCCTACAGCTCCTTGCCAGGGCTTCACTGCCACATTTGGGGTTTAAGCAGCTTCCGAGCCGTCCTCCTCCCTCTTGCTGCTTGCATAATTATACTATTTCAGTAAGTGCGGACAGAGCTACAGCACACCCAGAGCTACCACTATGTTAGAGTCAGCTCACGGGGCTACTGTAAACTTTCCTCCTTACTCCCTCCTTCTAACTCGGTCCCAGCTTGCTACTTAACATCAGGAGAGTATCTTTCCACACTCTTCAAAGAGCACTGTCCCCTCTCCCCCCAGTCTAGGCATGTTTTACTGGCCAGCTCCAAGGAGCTTCTAAGTTTTCCCTTTTCCAAAGGACTCCCAGATCAGGGAATCTTATTTACTACTGTAAGGTTCACCCATATAATTTCTTTCTCACAGAGCCAGAGATCAGAACATTCCCAAATGAGCTAAAAGACTGGATTACTGACAAAATTCCCCTTGTTAAAGTAGCCCATAATTAAGGGGACTGGCTGCATTTTGAACTTGTGCCAAATGTGTGGAACAAAAGGTCCTACTGCAATAAGAGGGTCTGTCCAGCTCACCTAGTGCTTGATTTTTTTTTTCAGGATGTGACTGTGTCACAGTGGTGCTGACTGCCAATAGGCAAAGATCTTAAAGCAGGCAACAGGTTAGCAGCTGCCGAGTATACTGATGGAGTCAAGGCATCTTTTGTTGGTGTGCTGGACTCTTCAGAGTTTGCCTTTAGCTTTCTTCCCTCCTGCCCTCAATCTGCTGTTCTCCCAGTGCTGTCTTCACAGCCAAGGATAGCAAAGGTGTGGATGTGTGAGAGAAGCACACACTGACTAACAAAACATAGGCTTGGGCTTTCATTCTCCTCAGTGGTCAGAGGGATGAAAGGTCTGTATCAAGGTAAGGAATTCCAAGCCAGCCAGATCAGCACATTCCTTCCTCTAGAAAAGAGGGCTGGGGGTTGGGAGATGGAGAGAGAAGGGCAAAAGGAAAGAATGAGACACAGGGAAAGCGGAGACAAAAGAGAGCAAAGGAGAGAGAGATTCTCGCCCCCTTCTCTCCCCGCCTGCCTTGTTTAGGTGGGCTGAGAAATATCAGCTGAGCACTCACAGCTCTCTTCCTTCCAGGAGCTAATTCCTCTCTGTCCTTTGTTTGTCTTTAATTTTTGGCTCCTGCATTTATCTTTTGTTTGGGTTTGTGCATTGTGACTTCCTACTGCAATTTCAAAAAATCCTGTGTCAGTTCCAGTGGGCTTGGTTGTTTCTTTTTCTACTTCCCAGATGCCTGACAGCTGCCATTTTATTAGCAGCACAGAAAGGATAAAGGGCAGTATGTCCTTCTGTTTTTTTCCTGAAGGGAGTGGTGTTGCATGGGAGGATATTCAGCCCACATTTTGAGAAGAGAGGGTATATAATTTGTTGAACCTCTCTGAGTCCACTAACAAACTGCATAAACCTTCTGGGTGTTGGTGGGTTAGGGAGGGTGAGTCTTTTATTCATACGTTCTCCTTTTTTTTTCCCCTTCCTAATTATTATATCAAGTGGATTTAGTGCTCATAAAAGGTACAGCTTTGGAGACTGAAATCCTTAGTTTATCCCTAGAACATGCAGAACTCTGGCAGCAGCAGGAACAACATTCCCTCACCCTGACCCAGCCCAGTCCTGGCGAGCCCACACTTAAGGATGAAGCCATGTGTAAAGGCTTGGTCTTCAACCTCTTCTAATGTCAGTTTGCACTGCCAGGGGGCCACAAACTGTGACTGCAGTGCTGAAGGGGAGAGGAGAAGTCCTCCAATGGGGAGGCACCAGTGGATGGTATAAAGCAGGGGTGGCCAACCTGCAGCATGTATGCCACAAGTGGCACATGGCAGACTGGGGAAGGGACAGGCAGCACAGGGTGTAGAAAGCAGAGTATCAGCTTGGGCAGGGAGCATGGGGCAGAAAGAGCAGGGTCTTGGGCAGGGAGCGCAGGGCAGGGAGCGGACAGCTGAGCAGCAGATTGGGTGATGGCAAGGATGGGGTTGGTACTCAGCAAAGGTGTGGGGCTAATTTGTGGCATGCCTGGCAAAAAAGTTGGCCCCCATTGGTATAAAGCTAGTAGTGGGCTCTCCCCTACCTGCATTGTCAGCTCCCACCTTGCAAGCTGTTTGAGGGAAAACACAGAGCCAGCAAGGCAGATCTGGAGTGAAGTGTGCACTGCTGACCCATGGCCAGTGGAATGGTCTCTGGGGAGACTGTCCGAACTGCCTTCAGTTAAAGCTGCCCTGCTACCAACTTCACCTTCTCCCACTTTAGCTGGGTGTAGCTGACATACTGAGCTGTGCACAGTTTATATGTCATTCCCAGCCCTTGAGTGGTGCTAGCCCTGGGGGCAGGACTAGTGCCTTCAGGAGCTCAGGTAGAATGTCCTTTGTAGATAAGGATAGAGAAGTTTAATCTTCTGGTCCATTTCAGCCTGCGCTTGTGGTGGGGCTACCATAGGGTAGCTTGTCTGAAAGTGGTTTCTGGGATGGTGGAGACTATATTACAGAAGCTTCCAGACAACAAACTAGCATCTGGGAATGACTTTCATTTAGCTGGGGGGGAGGGTGAATTTGATTTAGTAACCAGGGCTCTATTAATAATCTCACCTGAAAATACAGAAAGGAGTTTGGGGGATGTAATAGAGGAGCAACAACACGAAGGTGGCTGGAGGGAATGTCACATGAGCTGAGAATAAGGTGGGAGAAGTTACAGATGACAGGCTAATGTCTAGGGGAATGGAGAATATTCCTGACCCTTGTGGAGGATATTCCTGACCCTGGGGGGCTTCTGGCTGTGGAGTTCACCTATCCAGTGAACTTGGGAGCATGGAGTCTCTGGAACCCTGTCAAGGTGAATGTTGCAGATTAGGAGAAAGGCCAGTGTCTAACATCATTAGTTAGGCTGAAGAATCCAGATTAAACTCTATGCAGGCTGTTTTCTTACTGGGGTTCCCCTGTCCTTTTGAAGGCATATGGAGAAGCATGTGTCTTCTCCCTATGCCTGAAGAAGGGTGCTCGTGCCTGAAAGCTTGTAAAGAACAATTTTTTCCAACTATTCAGTTGGTGTACTAAG